TAAATATTTAATTATTTAACCTAAAACAGTACTTATATGTAATACGTTGTTTCTGCAGAGCATATTTGCATATTCGTGTATACTATAATTGTAATCTGATACAAATCTTTTGACGACACAATTGCGTATGATGCAATAGTGATGCTTTCATGTGAATACGCCGTGTTAGTGAATTACAGTTAATACTTACAATTAGTTTCTCACAGTAGATGGTATAAACCAGAACTCTTTCTAGCTTGTATAATTTCAGACGAAAGATCATACACATTTCACAATATAACATTTACATAGTTTATCTCATTATATACAAAATTGAAACTGCATGCAGAGTTAATTTCTCTTTATTCATGTTAATACATGTATTAATCCTGACTCAAGATAGAAATTATTTGCTATCTGTTTAACATTGTACTATAGTTTGTTATATATATGTGTTATATATAAATAATACATACATATGATTACTTTCGAAATATTATTTAGAAGATTTGTTTTAACATTAAACTGGCAATAAGTATAAGTGTGAAAATATAAGTGTGAAAAAACTTTTTTAGCATGTTTTCTGTTTGCGCTTTATGAAAATCTTATTTAATTTTATTTAATTTTTACAAAAAGAAGAGATATTTAAAATTATTATAGAAATTAAAAGTCAATATTCTCTCATTTTTGCGATATTTTATATGCGATTTTTATATGTATGTCAGTATAAATGTAAGCGATAAAAATTAATATATAATGTTATTCATATATATATATATATATACATATATATATATATATTGTATATAAAATATATATACACACATATATATTATATAATATAAAAATATAAAATATACAAATGAGAAACAAAATATAAAACATTTTTTTAATTTTATTTTAAACTGTATTTTATCTATTATATATTATATATATATATATATATATATATATACAGTGTATACTATATTCAGTGTATATATATATACACATATAATATATATAAATAATATATAATATAAATAATAAATAATTTATAATAATATATATATATAAATATAAAATATAAAAATGAGAAGCAAAATATAAAATATTTTTTAAATTCTATTTTATGTGAAACATGAATCATATGATTTAAAAATCTTAGTATTTAGCAATCAACATTTCTGTTGAATATGGTCAGTTTTTGCAATATGTTAATGATTTCATTCTAAACCTTTTCATTACATGTCTTCCTGCGAATATGGAAGAATTGAAATGCAGTTTCATATAATTAAAATTTAATCGTATTATATTCATATTACTTCCATGTAATAATCTTATATTATAAAATATTTTATATGTAATATATAAAAATATATATGTATTAAATTATCTGTTTTTCGCTTTTGTTGTAATTAGACATTGATGAAATTTGGATAAATGTTTCTCTTTTGTATTAACAAATAAAAAAAATTCATTTTTTATTACTTGAATGAAAAATTCTGGAATTTTAAAAATTAAATTTTACATTTTTCCCCCATATCATTTCTTCTATATTAATTGTTATAGATTATTAAAAAAATAATTTTATGTAAGATGTAAAAATAATTGTATTAAAAATGATAATCATGTAAGATATTCTCGAAATCATGATACAAGCAGTTGAATGATGATTTTACATCATAATCAAAAATAAATAAAAAACAATTTTAATTTAAACTTTCAGTTTCAAATAAATTAAATTTTAAAAAATTTTTAAATGAAATTAATTAATTTGTCAAAATACAAATTATCTATTGATAAAAAATTTATATGTGAAAATAAAAATATACAATAAATTGTTTTTATCTAAAAATTAATTTTCAAGAAAATTGAAAATTTTTCGATTTGATTTCTTAAGAATAAATATTTAATCTTTTCTCAAAAAAAAAACATAAGTTATGAAATTTTATTTTTTATTTTCTAAATATAATATTTTATAAATATAAAGTAATTATCTATCAATAGTTCATTTGTATTCAATCGGGAATTAACCAATTATTGTATTTGAACATTTTTCAAACTTGATTTACTTAAAAATGAAATCTTAAATAAAAAAATTTTATTTTACTTTTTTTTATTTATATTTATATGTTCAAAATCACCACGATACATCAATGGATTGTATCGTGATTTAGATGATACTCTATATAGATATTAATAAATGTATAACATTAATATTTTAGAGACAATATTTATTTTTAAAAGAATTAATATTAATTTGATATTATTTTCAAAATTTATAAATTTATAAATATTTTTTTGTTATTTTTAAATTTTAAATTATATACAAAGTAATGTTTTTTAATTTATTATTATTTTTAATTTTTTACTTAATTTTAAAAAAATTTGCGTATTATTTAATATTAAATTTGTTAATTATATTATAATATGTTTTAATATAACAAATATTATATTATAGTATAATTGTATTATAATTTATTATAATTAAAATTATAATTTAATATTAATTAAATTTTATTTATTTAAAATAGTAAATTTCGTTTTATTATTATATGTATTTTCCTTCTATTATCTTTTATATATTAACTTATATAATATGTATATAAAAGCTGAAATTGCATTAAGAATGTAATTTCATTTTCCTTCAATGTTACTTAAAAGGTATAATTATTGTTATCATTGTCATTGGATAACTACAAGTTACTAGTACAATTACTGTTATTAATTTCTTATTCTAACTCATTAATTGCATCATTATAATTATGAATATTATAGTTATCATTGCACGATAATTTATAATGTTACTGAATAATTAATAAATTAATATAATAATATTAATATTATCTAATCCTAATAATAAAAAATGTTTGAGTCATTTATAATTAATAATAAACAATAAATATAACGATAAATGAATCATAATTTTATTAGTTTTTTTATTGATATTTTAAAGTTATATATAAAAAATATTCCAATATTCTAATTTAAACTTATATTTATTTTATTATGTTTAAAAAACTTATATTTTTTTTTATTTTTATCTAATATTTTTAATAGATTTTTCCTGTTTTCAGTTTTTAAAAATAAATAAGCATTGTATTTAATATAATATAAATTTAATAATATAAAAAAAAAAATTTTATTTATTAAATTTTATAATATAAAAAATTTAATAAAAATATGTATATACTATAATTTAAAAGATAAAGTGAAAAAATATGTAATTTGAACATGTAAGAATATGCTATAAATTTATCAAAACGAAACAATGAATTTTTTTAAAAAGATATGATTATTTCTATAAATAATGAAATAAACTATAAAATTAATAAAATGTAATAATAAACATTAAAGAAAAATGATAAAATCAATTATATAGAAAAATAAAACATAACTTTTAATTTAAAATATATTATTTTAAAATATATTATATTATAATTAATCGAAAAATATATTTAACTAAATAAATATTTATAAAAAATTATTATCATAGATTTTTTTTGGATTTATAAAATGCTTGAATATTGTTATATATCTAAAAAATCACTTGTGTTATTTTCTTTTGGAATGTTTAACAATGATTTATATTACAGATCAAAAGTTTTATATTATCTATGCATGTTTTTATTATTCTTTATATACTGTATAAAAAATATATATATGTAAAAATATATTTAATATATATTCAATAATATATTCAAAAATATTTAACAATATTTTTTCAGAATTAATATAAAATATAGTTATTTTAAAAAATTTTCGAATATATAATTTAGATTTTTATGTTTCACATCTAAAATAAATATATACAAGATAATAAAAAAATATATATTTAAATATATATTAACATAAAAGAATAAAAATAAAAGTAATTGAATTCAGTTATGCAATTTAAGTTTGTAATTTCATTTTTTGATTTTTTATTTAAATAATATTTGTTTTATTTTTAATAAAGAATAAGAAATAACTTTTTTTTTCTATTTATTTGATCATATATAAAATTAACATATAAATACATAATTTATAATACTCTATTTTATATTTTCGTTTCATTTTGGCGAATATCTCTTATTTTTCGTATATAAAAAGTTTATTTTGGCAAGTGATAGTTATATATAAATATTTTTATTTTTACACAAAAGTATGTTTATTCTTAAAGAACGATTTCACAGACGACTTTCTCTGGCCCTCTTAAAGAAGTGAAAAGCAGCATAAATAGAATTGTGAAAAATTGAAAGTTTATAGTATTTCAGTTCATGTAGAAAATTATAATCGAAATGTAGTTGCAATAATTGATCAGATATTGTTTTAAAAAAGATAATTTCACAATTTGTTGTTAATAAATTTAAGATTTTCATAAAATTAAATTATAATTATAAATTTGTAAAAAATTATAATTTAATAATTTATTAATTCAAAATTTACTACTTATTTTTATAAAGGAACAAATAATTAAAAGATTTTATTACAATTTTTATTTGAGAATTTTATAAATATTATAAAATTCATTTGGACATATAATTAATTAAAATGAAAGTTTTCAATTGTCAATTATTAAATTCTTTTATTAATAATAATAAAATAATCAAATAATCAACTTGATTTATGTTAAAATATTTTTTAATCGAATTTAAAATTCAAGAATTTTTTGAAATTGTCTAATTTTTGTTATCTGATTTTCGTTATTTGATTAAAAATATTGATCAATTATCGATTATTAAATGCTCGTTTTCTATATTGTTTCATTTTTTTATTCTTTTTTTTTATTTACTTTATTTAATATATATTTCATTCGATTATATATGTAATCGATGATGTAAAAAATATCATATATGATAGATAATCGATTGACATTTATTTTCAATCAACGAAAATCAGACAAATGATATTTCATTAAAAAATCTAATCATAATCTAATTTATATGGATAAAAATTCAAGGGATAAAGAAATGAAAATACTATAATTTTATGTAAAAATACATAAAAAAAGCTTTATTTCGCCACCGTTTTCTTGCAAAAAGTAACGTATAAAAAAACATTTAATCCTAATCGTTGTCGTCGTCGTCGTCTTGGTTATCATGTTTCTAACATTTGTTAGAATCACCATCATCATCATCATCATCTTGATTGTCGTCGTTATTATCATCATCATTATCATCGTCATCATCATCATCATCATCCTAGCCATCGTGGTAATCCACAAAATTGTGGTCGTCTTTGCATTATTCTTACTAATCATATAACGCCGAATCGCGAGCAGGAGCCTCGTGTTACTATCGAATGTCCACTCGATTATTTTGTTCCTGCTCGTCAGCGCGGTCGTCCACGTGGGATCACAGTGTGTCGCGTCCAATAGGATCGCTATTGAGCCGTGGCTAAAGCCCTGGCCGAAGCCGTGAATGCGTGCGTGTCGCGGAGCGTAGACATAGGTTCGATTACGGGTAGAGGAGGAGCTGCGGGGGTTCAATGGGCATTTTGAGTGACTAGTAAGGCCCTGAAGCGCCAGGTGTCCCGTAAGATGTGCTGGGTCCGCTTGGTCCGCTGCCGCCATGACCGTCCAGCCCTCCGATACCTCCACCGGACCCACCACCGATTCCTCCACCGATTCCTCCACCGATTCCGCCACCGATTCCTCCGCCAATTCCACCTCCAATTCCACCACCGATTCCACCGCCGATTCCACCGCCGCCGCCGCCGCCTCCACCACCAGAAGTAATTTCCTTCTGTAATTTACGTAGAATATTAAATTTTAAATCATGGATAGATAGATATTAGATTTAGATATTATTAGATATTATTGAGATTATATTATAATTAAACGTATATATGAGAAATCTGTGTGTAAATTTTGAATATTGTTTTATTACAATAATAATGAGAATTCAATACTTATTACGAGTAATTTCGTTTTGAACATCGATATGAATTATGGAGATTTATATTGAATTTGTATAAATTAAAAATGTAGATCGAATATCATTATGTTTAAGCAATGATAGGAATTTAATAATAGTTGTTAACGAATATTCCTTTGCTATAAAGTATTAAAAATAGACAGAAAATAAAATTAAAAAATAAAATTTTTATATTTATTATGAATTATTTCGTTAAATTCAAATAAAAATTTAAATTTTGTATGGTCTTATTATTCTTTATATTTTTTTATATTTCAATAGTTAAGAAGAATCTAGAATAAAATAAAAGAATCATTATACTTTTCTGTTTTTTTATAATATATAGATATTAGTTTTTTTATAATATATAGATATATAGATAAGATCTTATTACATTATTTTAATTAGAATATATCTATATAACTATAAGAAATCTTTTTTTAATGAAATTATATAACATTAATATATAAAAAACATTTAATCAATATATTTTATACAATATATTTTATGATTTTTTTTAAACAACTATTTTTATATTTTTAAAATATACTGGAAAGTTTATTATACTTAGTAAGATATGTATATGTTTCTGAACATACATATATATATGCAAAGAAAACAATTATATACATATATGATTGCAAGATTACTTTCCATATGCCATTTTATCAAAATTTTTAATTTCAATATTAAATGAGAGAACTGTTTACCTGGGTCTTGTATTTGATGAAGTATACTTCTGGTTTGCTCGGTTGAGTAGGAGCAATGGTGGGCAATGTGATTTCTGGTGCTTCTTCTGGCTTTTTAACCAACACGTAAATCAATGTCTTCTGTTCATCTTGTTGAGGAAGAGCAGGAATAACAGGAGCAGTGGGAGTTGGTGGTGTAGGTGCCTTGATGAATATAATCTTATAATGTTTCTGAGGTGGTGGAGGTGGTGCAATAGGTCTGGTTGGTCTGTCTTCTGGGGCTTCTGGTGGTGGCACATGCACGTAAATGTGTTTCTGAATCAGAGAACCACCTCCAAAGCCACCGCCTCCTCCAACGCCTCCACCAAAACCTCCACCGCCACCGCCACCGATGCCACCTCCAAAGCCACCACCGAAACCTCCACCGAATCCACCACCAAGTCCACCGCCAAGTCCACCGCCCAATCCACTGCCCAGTCCACCGCCGATTCCACCGCCATGTCCACCTCCAAGTCCACCGCCTAATCCACCACCTAATCCTCCACCGATTCCAGTAGTTCCACCTCCTGGTGCTCCGTAAGAAGAGCTAGGCTGAGAGTAAGAGTAACCGGCTTCTGGCCGCGCCATCGCTGAAGCGACGAGCACCACGATCTAGAAAAAAATTATTACAGGATAAGAAAGAGAAAAATATATATATATATATATATATAGAGTGAAAAATAATGAAAATGCTGAAGTGAAGTGATAGAGCATAATAAAGCATAATAAAGAAATATAAGAAATGAAATAGTTGAATAAAACAAAAAATTAATAAAAGAGATTAGAAAAGAAAAATAAAATAAATGGAATAAATATTAGAATAATGAAAGATAAGAAGAAACTGTGACAAAGATAGAAAGAGTAAAGAAGCAAAATAGAAATATTAATAGAATTATAATAGAAATATTAATAGAATAAAGGATTGTAAAGAACAGTTAAATAAAAAATTGAAGTCAAGTGAAGAAATGATATAAGAAACTAAGTTAGAAAATGGAAATGAATAAAAATAGATATTGAAAAATTATAAATATATTAAAGTGGAAGAATAATATAGAAAAAATAATATCAATAATTTTAGAACATTTTTATACATATATTTTTTCAAAGTAATATCCAAGAATATAAATCTGAGATTTTAAATAAACAATTTGTCAATTAAAACTAATATAAAACTAATATAAAGAAAATAATTGTAAAAAGATATTAAAAAATAAATGTTTTAAATTAAGAAGAAGATAAAGAAAAAAATATTCTCGAAGAATACATTTGAAATTAAGGAAATGATATTACGTACAATTGGAAAATGTTTCTTATTATACTTTCATAATAGATAGGTATCTTAATACGATTGATTGTATTGATATCAAATCTGTGTCATCTTCTGGGTCATCATCATTCCCACTCTTCTCTACTTTCTCCCGTAAAACTCCCTTTCTACACAAATTCTTATTTTTCTCTTTCTCTTTTATTTTCTTGGTTTTCATATATATTTACTTTCACAAGAAACAATTGATTATGGTTTATTGTGCAATATCAATTTTTTATTAATCTTTTTTCTTCTCGAATAATTTTAATTTATTATAAATATATTAAAATTATAGTTTCGATTGTAAAATATGAAATTCTTTATTGAAAAATATTCATTTCATAATTAATACTTGAGATTTATATTTATATTATTTTAAATTTAGACTAATTTTAAATAATCTGATGTAACTAATAGATATTTTAAATTTGTATTTTTTTTATAAACTAATTCTGTATACATAATTTTGTAACAAATATATAAGACATTCAAAAAATATGTAAGATATTACAAATTTTTAAATTTTATTTATTAAAAATAATTTTTGCAAATTATAGTTCGTATAATTATTTTAAAAAAACAATTCAAAAATATAAAAAAGAAAAAGAGAAAGAATTTAGTATAGTATATAAAATTCTAAGGTTTTTTTTTAATCTATTTGATTTATTTTTATATTATTTTTACAATTTTTAGAAATTTTTTATTATATATAAAAATTTTTTATATATATATTTTATTTATATATAAAAAGAAAACAAAGTATTCATTTTATATATAAAATTAACAAAATCTATGAGAAAAGATGATATTATGATTATAATCTAAAATAATAAATTATTTATTCTTCATATGAATATATATTTTTCATATCCTTACACGTTCTTAAGTAAAATATCAATCTGAGTTCGATATTAACAATATCTTTATTATTAAATATTAACTTTTATATCAATATTAAACTTTCTTTTTCTTGTATTAAATCTTATAAAAAATTATTTTAAAAATTTGAATTACTAAAGAAAGTTCAAGAAAAAAAGGAAATGAAATGAATGTAATGAAAATTCATGGTAATGATAAAAATATCACAAGATATTAATGCCATTGGAAAGAATGAAAATATTGATAATGAAGGGTCAGTGAGCAGACGAGAAATATTCGACTCACCATGAATGCCCTCATGGTAGCTGCTGTTCCTTGGATTTGAGGACTGATGCTCCACAGATGCCACGGACCCTCTTTTATACTAGCTCTAGCCCCACTCGCATCTCGACCCATCACCTATGCTGATGAGACTGTCTGGCGAATCTTTCTCTCTTTCCTCTGTCTCCGCGCCTCTGTTGTCGATCAAACAGTAAACTTTTTCTCTGGTAAACCACGAACTTGACTCTATGAGTCCACGTGAATTCTTTTTGAATTTTGAACCTTTAGCTATTTAAATTCGATTCATTGATGATTGACAAAAATGTGATTATAAATTGAATTTTTGGATAGAGAAGAAATTTTTCAAATTCGATTAATGCTCACAATTATTTTTTTACAATTATTTCTTGGTGGTTTGAATATATGCGAAGCATATTGAGTGGATGTGAATTTGTGTAGTTTGCGTAATAGAGAAATGAACTTTCTAGGGTGTAATAAGGATATCATTAAGTTTTTTAAGGATTGTTATAAGATATCTTTTGTGCAAGAAATTAAAATTCTTGAGAAATTGAATTTTTAATTAATATTAAGAATTTTAGGATAATGTAAGAATAAGAGTTTTTAAAGATAAGATAAAGATTTAATTAATAATGTTAATAAAAAATTCTTATTTATTATTATTCTTTCTTATTATTCTTATTTATTAAATTCTTATTTAAAAATTTGGAATAAAAAAATATTTATAATGTTTATATATATTAATGTTACATAATGTTTTTGTGAATATTAATATAATTATGAAATAATCATTTTTTAAAATATTGATTTCATATGTTAAAATTATATTTTAAAATCACATTAACAGAAATTTGTTTTTATTTATTTATTTTTTATAATTATTAATAATTAATATATTAATTAATCAATTAATAATTATAATACATTTTAATATGCATTTTACATCTTAAGTTTTTTTAAATATTTATTACATATTATTATGATATTTATTATTTATATTATGATATTAATATGATGTTTTAATAATAACTTTTAATAATTTGATATTAATTTACATTATTATTAAAATAACAATCACATAGAATAATTGTTAAGATAATATATAATTTCTATACGAAAAGTAACAATATAATAAACATTTTGATATTTGTTTTGAAAGTTATTTATTTTAATTTAATTAAAAAAATATATTAACTGATGTATGATGAAGAATAGAATATAATATAAAAATATAGAATATAAAAGTTAATTTAAAATAATAAGAAAAATATTTAAAGAGTTAATCATTGGTTTAATATAAATTATTGATTTACTTATTGATTTATTATTAAATTTTAAAAATTATTCAATTATAAAATTATAAAATTTTTATATACATTTTTATATACAATTTTGTAATAAAATTACTATTGTGAGATCAAAAACAAAAAAAATTGTAATATATTGTAGGCAAATGTTATTAAAGAAAATAAATAAATAAATGATAGTCATATTATTCATTTGCTGCAATGATAATATAACTACAAAATTAAAATTTTTGAAAAAATTTGAACATTTTGAATAATTATATAAAAACATATAATAAAACTTTATTAATAAAAAATAAAAAATATAAACAACAATAATTTTCTAATAATTGAAAAATATAAATATTTTTATTATTTCATTATTATATCAAATAATATGAATTTATATAATTAATATAATTAATAATAATTAAATATATATTTGATATTTCTATAATATCTTGATTTTTATAATATCTTTTATTTTTATTTAAATTATCATTTATTATGATTATTATTTATTTATTATTATAAATATATACAGATAAGTATAAAATATCTTATGATAATCGTAAATATCAATTTTTTAAAATGTTCTTGGATAATCTTTCATGTAATAATAAAATTTAATTTAGAAAATTGTTTTAATATGAAAATTTTTTATTTTTTACTTACTTAAAATAAATAGATATTGAATTATTAATTATCGCTTAAATAAATATCATAAAAATATCTTATTTTTAAATATAAATAAAATTAATCCAATATTTTATTTGAAATATATTATATTCTGAACATAAAAAATTAAAAAAAACATTTTCATTTCTTATTTTTCTTTATTAAACAAAATCATTAATCATTAAATCATTAAATGTATTTAACAATATTTTATTTTTATTAATTTTTTTTAATGTTTTCATTCAATTTATTAATTCATTTTTACTAATGATTTATGAGATTAGTATTCATTATTTATAATGAAATTATAAAAAGAAATAGTTTTAGATAATTAAGTGGTTAATAAAACATTGTATGTAATTGCATGACGTTCTCGAATTGCTTAATTTAAATTCAAAAAGAATACAATTCTTAATTATTAAATTTTATTAAAATTTTATTAAAATTTTGTTTTATCTATTTGTAGAATATTTTTTACTAAATATTCGTTCTTCACTAAAAAATGAGAAAAGATAAATGAATATTATTTAAGTTGTTCATGGCATATCTTATATTATTATTTAACTATTTCTTAAATTAACTATATATAATTTCAATAAAAAAATATATATTATTTTTAAAAAGTTTAAATAAAAACATTTTTAAATAACTCAATTATAAATAATATCATATAAATAAATTCTTAATATTTATTATTTATATAATTAATTATTAAAATATGTATATATGTTTTTATTATATTTATATTTATTTATATTTATATTATTAAGTATATATATTTTTATAATATTATTATATTTTTTATTATATGTTATATACTTATTTTTTATTATATTATACACGTGTATATTTACTGTACAATATATATATCTTATCGTTATATCTTCATCTAAGAAAATAAATTTCAATTGTTTATAAATAATATTTAATATTATTCTTAATATTTTTCTAAAACTTTTATGTTCAGCCTTCAATCAATCCTTTAAAGATGTTTCATGAATATAATAACATTTTTATAATTGTATATAGAATATATGAAAAAACTATGATATATGATATAATATAAATTATAAATTTTTATTAGAATTATCTAAAAATATATAAATATAATATATCTATATACATATATTATATATATTATATATATATTATATAGTTCTAAGATAAGACAAACGTGAAATCGTATGATTTCACTTTGGGATATTGCCGTTCTGAATCATTTTCTTTTCTGAATTTTTTCGTTGCTAGTATTTTAATTTTTCTTTGTTGGGATATAGATGTTTCATATTGTTTCATATTTAATTTTAAATTAAACAATCTATATTAAACTTATTATTTTAAATAGATAAAAAATATATAAGAACATTTAATAAAAATATATACAGTAACTTCAGAAACTAAAAAGATGTATATATTTGTAGCTATTTCTGAAAGTATTCTTGTCTTCTTTTACATACTATTAACTTATTTTCGGAACTTTCTATGTAAATATTATATAATATACTAATAGAATTCATTTAATTCGTATTATATCAATAATTAAATATGTGTTAAAAATAAATTTCATTCTTTATCAAGAAGATGTATATAATTGTTAATTTTCAATTTTCATTCTTTAAAAAGATAATTTTTAAAATTATTTGCGTTATATTTTTTTATAAAAAACATTTTACATACATAAAAGAATAAGAATATTTTTCAATTAATTGAATATCAGTCATCAAAAAAACTATTTTTGTCAACAATATTCTATTCAATTTATAAAAAAATTAATCAAAATTATGTTTCTGATAATAATTGGATAATAATATTATCCAATAATAAATTTTATTGGATAACAATATTAAGAAAAAATTTATAACATTTTTAAAAAATATATATATAAAAAAATTGTTAAGTTTAATATATATTTCACGAATTTTCCAGATTTTCAAAATTTTGTAGAATATGTATAATATATATATATATATTATAAATAAATCTTAAGTTGTAAATGTGAAATTTAAATATTTAACATTTTATGTTATAAATATGTAAAATGAACTTAATGAACAATTTGTTTATACATATAAAATCTATAAGTTTCTGAATTTGATAAATATGATCATATTTTATATTTTTAATAGAAACGAATTTATTTTTTATATATATTTTTTTAATTTTTAATTTATTTTATAAAAAATAAATTTTGCATTTTATTTTATTAAATTAATATTATAAAATTAATTAAATTAAATTAAATTAATTTTATAAAATTAAATTAATATATAAATGTAAGATCTTTACATTTGTTTTTTATATATAGTTTTCATTTAATCTTACAACTATATAATATAGAAATATTATTATTAATATTGTTTTAATATGAGAATTACATTACTTTTCTTATAATAATAGAAGTTAATCAAAAAATAGTAAGTTAAATTTAGAATTTGAAAAAATTTAAGTTTATTTCATTAATATTTTAATAATTTAACATTTTCTATATTTTATGTTAAATATTTTATTTATTTTTATTTTATATTATAATATAAATGCATTAATAAAATGTAATGATCTATAAATATAATTTAAGTTAAAAATATGAAAATAAAATAAAAGATATAAATTCAAAAAGAATTCATTTTTCGAAACTTTTATTTTATTTATAGCTATTAATTTAATTTTTATATATTATTTTACAATTTTCATCGTAAATTAATTTTTATTGAATTAATCAATTAATAAAAGAAAAGATAATTTTTACAATATGAATTATTTCTAAGAATTCCATTTATTACTAATATACTAAATACTAATATATACTAATAATACTAAAAAATGAACAAAAAATAATTATTTAATTACAATTTTTATGATTTAAAAATCAATGAATATTTTTAAAAAATTGAATAATTAATAATAAGTATTATTAATTATTAATTATATTCATATATTTAAAAAAATTATAATTATTGTCATAAAATATAAAAGAGAAATGTATATCTACAAAAAAAAATCTTTTAACAGGAGAATAATTATTATATTTATTTTTTTGTATATGAACTAAATATTGAAAATAATTTTTAATTTATCAATTGAATGAAAACATTTTAAGTATTGAAATTCAATAAGATGATCGAGAAATGATCGCGAAAGAAAAAAGAAAGTTCGCGTACTCACGAAAAAAAAA